GGGCGCGGAGGCGCGCGCGGGGCCGGGGGCTGCAGGCGCTGGTGGCCGGCACGCGTGCGGCGAGTGCGGCAAAACGTACGCGACGTCGTCGAACCTGAGCCGCCACAAGCAGACGCACCGCAGCCTGGACAGCCAGCTGGCGCGGCGCTGCCCGACGTGCGGCAAGGTGTACGTGTCCATGCCGGCCATGGCCATGCACCTGCTCACGCACGACCTGCGCCACAAGTGCGGCGTGTGCGGCAAGGCCTTCTCGCGGCCCTGGCTGCTGCAGGGCCACATGCGCTCGCACACCGGCGAGAAGCCGTTCGGCTGCGCACACTGCGGCAAGGCCTTCGCCGACCGCTCCAACCTGCGCGCGCACATGCAGACGCACTCGGCCTTCAAGCACTTCCAGTGCAAGCGCTGCAAGAAGAGCTTCGCGCTCAAGTCCTATCTCAACAAGCACTACGAGTCGGCCTGCTTCAAGGGCGGCTCCGGCGGCGGCGGCCCTGCGGCCCCCGCGCCGCCGCAGCTCAGCCCCGTGCAGGCCTAGAGCGCCGGGGCTTCCGCCAGCCAGGTCGGCTCTCAGCAATACGTGCCCCCGGGGAAGTCCCCGCCGGCGTCCGGACCGAGGGGCCGGAGGAAGGGCCCCTCCTCACAGCAATAGGGGGAGGGGGACCGGCCCCACCTCGCCCCGCCCGCCAGGGGCCTTGCCGGCCCCTTCAAGCAATAGGGTCCTGAGGGGAGACCCATCCCGAACCCCGTCCCCTCCCCTCCAGGGTGCCCCAGGCTTTCTCCCAGCAATAGGGTCGACGAGACCCGGAACCGAACCTCATCTCTGAGTTGGGTCTCTGAAGACGGGGGTGGGGTTAGGTAGGGAAAGCCCTCTTTGTCCCCGCTCTGCGCTCCTGCATCGCGTCGCAGAGACTCAGGTCTTCCCCACCCCTTCCCCAGCCTTCTAGGGCCCGGCCTGCGGCCCAGACGTCCAGGGAGCCGGTCCCTTCCCGGCAGCGGGCGGTGGGGAGGAGCAGGAGCGGCGGGGGCCTGAACAGGTGTCCCTGCGCCTGAGTCTTCGCCGAACTCCCGGGAGTTTCAGACGCTTTGGGGATCGGGGAGAGGGGCGGACGGCGGCACCCCTCTGCCTCGGGGGCCTCAGTCCGAGCCGCCCTCCTACCCTCGCCTCGCATCCTCTGCCAAATCCGAATTCTTCCAGCCCACCTTCCAGGGCTCTGTCCTCCATAACGAATAATAATGACGCATATCAAATCGCATGGACTTATCCGACCTCCTCAGACCCCGCTCCCGCCCTGCCCCGGGGCCCCCTCCCTCGTACCCCGGGCATTCGGCGTTGGAGGACGGGTTCCTGGGGCCCGGCAGGCAGGCCTGGGCACTGCCCTCTGCACATCTCTCTGTATTCGCTTTGCGGGTAAAGCCCCCTGGGGGGGTTGCGGACGCGTCGGGTTTCTCTCTTTCTGTATTTGTACGTTTTATTTATTAACAGATTGCACTCGGGTCAGGGAGGGGGCGCTGAACCCCCACCCTGCCCGCCGACGCCGGGGGCTTGGGATGTCCAGGATCACTTGCCCCGCCCCTAGTTGGGCTCTGCCTCCTGGGAGCCTCGGGCCCCGCCCCTCAGAGGCCGGCCCCTCCCCCGAGGCCCAGGCCCCGCCCTCACTCCGTTGCCAACTTTCGCCCGTCTATGCCAAAGCCTCGGCGGCGACCCCGCCCAAGGGCCCGCCCCATTGGCCGCCGCCTTTGTGACGTCACTGCATGCAGCCCCACCCCTCTTCCCGACCCTTCCCGGGGCTGCCCGCTCCTCCTCCCCCTTAGTTAGTCCGATGCCGACTATAGAGCAATAACGCGCACTGCATGCGAAGCTGCCGCCGCCTCTAGAGTTACTGAGAATCAGGTATCCACCCGCCCTACCCACCCCATAGGCCCCTAGATCAGGGACGCTGCGCGGGGCCGGCCGCGCAGACTTTCTCCCCCACACCTCCCTCCCCCCACGGCAGAGCCCGGCGGGTGTAATGGTTCCAGGGGCGGGGACGAGGTGGTTGCACCCAACACCCTCCTTCAGATGTCCATCACTCACCATTTCACTGGGCACCTTCTATGTGTCAGGCCTGTTGCCGAGTCCTCCAGGGACGTGGCGACCTGCGGGGAAGTGTGTGCCCACGACAGGGACCCAACGGCCTTGGATGGGCCAGGGACGGACGCAGAAGCAGAGAACCCCCCGACCCCACTCTCCCCAACTTAGCCCGGGTCCGTGCTGGGCGCAGTCGGGCTCTGCCTTTGACTGGGACATTGCGTTCCTAGCTTAGGTGGGACAGACCCAGGGCCCAGTGCCACTAGGGCCGCCCACTAAGGTGCCCAATCCTCTGATCCCTTGGGAAATGCGCTCTGTCGTGTTTGGCCCGAGCCAGGGCCAGGGCCATGCCAAGAGGAAAAGGCACTAGCTGGAGTATATGACGTGGCCAGCCTCATCCTCAGCACAAGCTTGGTTGCCCCCACAGGAGCAGACCCGTGGGCCCAGCATAGCAGGGCCCACATCCAAATCCCCCTTCACCACCAGGCATGGTGCCCACACAGCTCCCAAGCCGGGGCCTGCCCGCCTGTGCCACATCTACACACAGGCGCCCCCACCCCACCCCACCCACCGCACACTCCTGTCTACCTACCTACGGAGAAGGCCAGAGGGCCGTGAGCCCACCTGGGTCTCCCGCTTCCCCCCACACCCGCCGTGGAAAGCCATGGGCCCCCTCCTGCCCCCATAACTAAGCAGCACAATAACCGACTTAGCGAATTCAGGTAGAAGGAACGATTAGGTAGCACCTATTTTGTACTGATTCTACAAGTAGGGCCCGAGGTGCGGGGGCCCTCGGGTGGGGGCTCCGGCCGTCGGCCTGCTCCGCCCCCACCCCCGCCTGCGCCCCGCCGCCTTGTACATATTCCCACCCGGAAAAGGCCGGGATTTTTACTCGGGCCGTGCCCCTCTTCCGCCCCCGTTTGGGGCTGGGCCGGCCGGACAGACGGACGGACGGACAGACCTCCTTCCTAAGCACAATAGCACCAGCTCCCCGGAGCGCCGCACCTCCACGAGGAGAATAAATGCCACTCTTGATAGAATTTGCAGTGTGGGGCTCATGTGTGTTGGGCTGCGCCCGTGCCTTGGGTGTGTGGGGGGGCATCCTCCTGATCCTGCCACACCCACAGGCCAGGTGCTGCAGGCCCCGCTCTGAGAGTCACAGCCGACAGCCGTTCATGCAGCCCTGGAATCACGCCCCTGCCTTTAGCAAGGGGGCCCTCTTCTTTCACTGGGGAGGGCCGCCTGGACAGGCCAAGCTACCAGAGTGCTGTTGAGGAGGCAAAGCAGTTGGTCTTCTGCTGCAGGTGAATCTGCTCTGTACCATGACTGGTGGCACTAAGGGGCTCCAACCCACAGTCAGGCCCAGCCCAAGGCCAATCTAGAATGGCCACAGTAGGTACATCAGAGGCTGCAGTCCCCTGGCCTGGAACTCCGCTCCTCTACTCTCCCTGTAGGGGCTTCTGCTGCCCTGGCAGGCCTGACAGCCACAAACAAGCCCTCTGAGACGCTATTGGAGGAACTGGGGATAGCAGAGGGTTCAAGGTCTGGCCCCTCTTTTCGGCCTGCTGCCCATATCCTGATCCCCAGACTCTGGGGATATGCTCCTCAATGTCCAAGGAGGCCTCCATGGACAGCTTCAGACAGGAGGTGCCCAGTGGGCAGAGAGACTTCTGCAGCCACCCTTAACCCTTCGGCTCTAGACAGGATGAATAGAGTTGAGGAGATTAGGGGCAGGGATGTGCTGGATAGGGAGAGCAGAGGGGCAGAGATCCCCTACCCAGCAATGGCATCTGGCAGTCAGTAGGCAGGCATGAGCTGAGAGGCCCAAAGCCTTTGGCCACATGTAGCCAAACCAGGTCAGTCCTAGGCCCAGGGCCAGCACAGCTGCCACAACCTGGCAGGGCCAGGAGACAGACCTGCCCAGATTTCACTGGGGTGGAGGACAGCCTCGTCTGCAGCATATTGTGGCCTTTGGGCCTGCTGCTTGGAGGGTGCCCTCTTCTGGAGAGCACTGCCAGCACTAATAATGGGAGAAGTGAAGGCATAGCTGGTACTGGCAGGGGTTGGTGGCCAGGCCCTTCTGCAGAGGGGCCTTCATTTCACTGTCCTCCAGCCAGGTAGGCATCATCGTCCTAGTTCGAAACGAGGAATCTGAGCCTCAGGGAGACAGCCTGTCTAAGGACGAGGGACCCAGGGAAGCTTTTGACATAAGCCCTCCCCAATACTCCACCCACCTGATACCTGGATCTGTACCTTGGCAGATAGCAGTGGCAGGGAAGAAGACTTCTAGCTGCCCACTCATTCCCAAAGGACTCCACAGCTTTGGGGTCTCCAATGGCTGCATCTACTTCTCAAGGATTTTGACAGGTGGTGGAGGTGGAAAGATGCAGTTTGCCTCCTCCAGGCCTGGGATGACCCCCCTGTTCCTCCCAGCCTCCATGCACATGCACAGAGAATAGGTGGCACAGGCTGCTGACCACCACTGCCCAGGAACTCTGTCCAATGACTGTGCTTCTCATAGGCTTCCTTAGCTTGCCCACTGTTCCTTGGTCCTGGAGTCAGCCTGAGGCCCCTTCTAAACCCTAAACCCTTCCTGGCCCTTTATTGAACCAGGCCTGCAACGTTACCCACCCCAGCCTCGGTCCCCCTCACTTGTTGCCACCCCTGACAGAGAGATCTGCACAATGCTTTCCTCGCTGACCCCTCCACGCACACCTTTGTTCCCAAACAACCTGACCTACTGACCTTTCCCCTCTCTCCTGGCGCCCTGGGCCACACCTCGCTCGGGATCCCGGTACTGGGGCTGTGACAGCCCCTACCCGCCTTCAAGCTCTCGGCCCGGGTCCCCCCTTTCCCCCTCCCCGAGGCAGGCCCCGCCCCGGCCCTCGCGCCCAGGCTCTTCCTCATTGGGGCGCTCACAGCCCATGCCTTCCTCACGCTCGCGACCCAGCTCTCCTCACCCGGCCAGACCCGGCCTCTCTGGTGGCCCCGATCCACCCTCTGGTCGCCTTACTCCCGCGGCCACTTGCCGGCTGAAGGCTTTGAGCCGGGCCCGGGCTGCAGGCAGCCGCCTTCAGCGCAAGCCTTCACTCCTCGCTGGCTGCGCGCTCGGCCTCTGCGGGCTTACTGGCAGGCTGAGCCGTCCATCCTCTCCTCGCCCATCCGCGTGACGGCTTGGGCTGGCCCTCTAGTTTTTGGTCCTACACTGGATAGTGGCACGGCCAGAGCACGCGGAGGCTTCGTGCTCGCTGCCTGGGAGAAGGAGTGGCAGAGCTCCCATGGCTCACCCCTAATCCAGGCTCCCAAGGGGACACTCTTCCACCCAGCCTCCTTTTAGGGTCATTACTGGGAAAGGCCTAGACTGCTCCGCCAGCGACTGCGATGAACAGACGAATGTTCTGGCAGACTGGGTAGGAACCGGGGCTGGTCCTCCCCCACCGAGGTCCACGCGTGAGGGGCGCTCCGGCCCAGTCGGGGTGGTCCCCCGCTGTAGGCTACATGGAGACGCCTGCCAAGGAGTCCCAGCCCAACCCAAGATGGCCCGTGCCAGCAAGAGCGTGTCACCAGGGGGGCAGCTCCACCGGCCGCCGTCGGTGGAAGAGGGATGAGCTCAGCCGGGAGGCTGCGCCTCTGTGTGGTCGCTCCCAGAGCACCGAATGGCTAATGGGTCCCGAGCTCGACGTGTTTCTTGGGTAAACGAGGTCTGAGTCCCGAGTGAACCCTCACACCCCGACCGAGATCCAGGCCCAGGTGGGACGCCGACTTGTGTCCCGTGGGCCGCGCCGTGCGGCTCTTGCAGCTGATGGCTTGCTTCATTTAGCACCTGGGCGATTGCACATAAGCCTCTGTGCGAGGCGGCGCCCCAGGCTCCCGAGGTCCTGGCGCACTTGCAAGTTGGCGGACGTGGGGCTGTCTGTGGAGGGGGCAGGCCGGAACGAGGCCACCGAGCGGACTGCACCCTCGCCCTACCGCCGCCGGGCCCTGCAGACGGAGAGGTGGTGAGCCGGGCAGTCGGCGCGCAGGGCGGGCAGTCCAGCGACGCGGGCCTGGGGCCGTTCTCCTGCTTGACCCTCTGACCTGGCCCCTGTCTGACGTTACCCCAGGCAGAGCCCCGGCGGACACAGCCCGGGGCTCCCGGACGGCCGCGCACGAGGCGTCTCGTAGCCTGGGCTGAGGCACTGCGGCCCTGTGCTTACAGAAGCGGGGCAAGCGGCCGGCGAGAGCTCGGGAGGCGCGCAGCTGCCGGGAAGCCGGGCGCCGCGGCCCTCGGGTCGTCTATCCCGTCCCGCGCATCCCACAGGACTCTGGACGTCTTCCGCGGAGACCCCGGGACCACGCGGGCAGCAGGTCCGCGCGCCCTGCGTCCGCACGCCCGCGTCTTGACCACGACTCC